TCACCAGTGCTACCCCTGGGAAATTAAGATATGAAGGTTCTAACGCCGAGCAGTTCGAGATTTTGGCCTTGCTGATTTCTGCAGGAAAATGAGACAAAGAGATGAACATGAGTATAACTGCACTCCCAGAAAATTTTTATAATTTTTAAACGGTTGGAAAGGGACTAAACAATGTCAAATATAATGGAGTTTCCATTCTCTGAAGCCAACATTTACTACTCTTCCAGCTATTCTGGATTTTGAATTTTGACTTCTTATAAAATCCAAACTATTGGTTTTTTTTTTAGCTTATAACTGTTAGACCCTTTTTAGGTGGAAACCAATTAGCTTAGAAATGAAGAATCAAAGAAATGTTTCAAATAAATCAGAAAGTGAGAGAAAATGTGCTTACTGATGCAGCACCAAAGCTTGCCCCAGAGCCAGTTGCAGCACCTGCAAAATGAAAGTAAAGAATTCAATAAATATTCATGCGATAACATACGTTATTATTTCAAGAAAGAATAAACATTCATGCGATAACACAATTCTGAAGAAACGGAAAAAAAAACTTCAAGCCTTCCAAGTAAAGGGAATCAAAAGTCTGTCCGCAAAAGTTTTTTATTTAAGCCACCAGATTTCCATAACCTCTGAACTGTAGTAAATCAGCTACAATCTTATAAGCTGAGAAGACCTGTCTACTTGCACTATATTAATGGTCCTAATTGTGTATCTAAATAATTTATAAGACCAAGCAATAATTTAAAACTGCCTAGGATGAATAGGTACCTGAAGCAAATGGTGTCGAGAATAATGCACCTCCAGTAGCTGAAGAGGCCAGTGTTGGGGTACTATTTGCAAACAAAGATGGTGTTGAAGCCGTCCCAAAAAGAGATGCTGATGAACTAAAAAGTGATTGCTGGGGTGATGCACCAGATGATCCAAATAGGGAGGACATAGAAGACAAGGTTGTGGGAGTTGCAAAGAGAGAAGATGGCATGGATGTGGAAGGTGCAGAAGATGGTGTGTTAAAAAGAGAAAAGCCACTCCCTGAAGAAACTGATGAGGTTACTGCAGATGTCTGCGGGGCAGCTGGTGCTCCAGGAGTTGCTGAGGTGGTTAACAGCCCAGCAGCTTGAGTTGATGGTTGTGGATTTGCAGGCAGGTGTAAAGTTGGATGTAATCTCTTAGCAGCAGCTTCTTGTTTTGCTGTTTCTCGTCGATCAGCCTCAAGGAATGGATCATTCCCATCCCCCCGACGGCGCTGATCCGCAAGATAAGCCACTTTCATTGATTCAATATATTGATGAATATTCTCCACCTAACCAACACAAGGTGATGCATTAGAAAGCAAGATGTATGCAGCATTGTCCATTTTGCAAGGACTCGCACGTGTAGCAATAGCAGCTCAATGTAATATGAGTGCAATGGACCATAATGATTTTCTTGAAGCTAATAGAGATATATATGACTTAAAAATAACATTGCATAACCATGTGTTGAGGTAGAA